CAGTTTGTTTGGTCCAGAATTTCAGTGTATTAGGAAACAGCCACACAGAACTTTCATCTGAGAAAATCACATTGTCCCAGTTAAAATTTCTATGCTGTAAGCACCAGTTCAACCTTCGCTGCTTTTGTTCAGGTTTCATGATCAGTGATGGAATTTCTCGACTTTTCTGCCAACCCATTGCATGCAGCTCAGTTTTAATTGTCTCCTTACAGACAGCCACAATTCCTCTATCAATCATATCCAGCCTTAAGTTTTCTAAACACCTTCGTTTGTTTTTAGAAACAAGAATACCAAGCCGCCTCCTGTCACTGACAGTCAATTTTCTGGGCCTACCTGGGCCTCCCTGGTGCTCAGTGCCATATCCATTTGCAATATTTTTCAAAACACGATAAACAGTGGACAAAGGGATGCCTGTTCTACTTGAAATCACTTTAGCTGATCTGATGTCCTTGTTATAATACTCTAAAATCAACTTCCTCTTCTCTAAATCATCCATACTGAGGATCACTGAAAATGTCGTCTGCTAGCAAGTAAACAAAGGGGGATAACTCTTCACAAACTAATGAAAAAGGATTAACGGAGTTGTCTCTCTTGAATGAAACCAGGCACTTGATAGCTGGTCAAGGTTGTTTATACTAGAAATCCAATTAAACATATTCCTAAAATTCTCTAATTTCTGGTCATACTATATAAGCGAGTGCGGTCTATATACCTCATTTAGTATCTATATATGCCAGCGAGTGCGGTATATATATACAAGCGGTACTATCTATATGTCTCATCAAGTACGATCTATGCACCCCAGCAAGTACGAGCAAGTACGATCTATATACCCCAGCAAGTACGATCTATATATCCCAGAAAGTAGACCTATATACCCCAGAAAGAACGATTTCTATATCCCATCGAGTACGATCTATTTACCCCGGCAAGTACGATCTCTATATCCCAGCGATTACGATCTATATACCCCGGCAGGTACGATCTCTATATATCCCAGAAACTTCGATCTATATACCCAAGCAAGTGCGATTTATATATCCCATCGAGTACGATGGGGGTTACCCGGCAAGTACGATCTATATATCCAAGCAAGTAAGATCTATGCGCCCCAGCAAGTACGATCTATATATGCAAGCAAGTACGATCTATATACCCCAGCAAATACCATCTATGTATATACCCCAGCAAGTACTATCTATATACCCCAGCAAGTACGATCTATATACCCCAGCAAGTACGATCTATATACCCCGGAAAGTACGATCTATATACCCCGGAAAGTACGATCTATATACCCCAGAAAGTACGATCTATATACCCCAGCGAGTACGATCTTTCTCCCCTTAGCAAGTACGATCTATATACCCCAGCAAGTACGATCTATATACCCTAGCAAGTACGATCTATATAACCCAGCAAATACTATCTATATACCCCAGCAAGTACTATCTATTTACCCCAGCAAATACGATCTATATACCCCAGTAAGCACAATCTATATACTCCAGCAAGTACGATCTATATACTCCAGCAAGTACGATCTATATACCCCAGCAAGTACGATCTATATACCCCAGCAAGTACGATCTATGTATTCCAGCGCACACGACCTTTATATCACAGCGAAAATACGATTTATCCCCCGAAGAGTACGATCTATATATGCAAGTGTTTCTCTGTTGAAAGTGACTTTATCCGAAGTTCATATGATGTATTCAAAGTCTTCAATTCATCGCCTTTGCAATAATTTTTTTAAAATACAGTCTTACCGCGTATTCCTGCTAAAAGAATGAGAAAGAACCGTTTATCGCAAAGTTTTTGAAGACACATAATTTACGATGATTTTAACCCGAATGTAAGAATCATAAGAGTTGGCATTTACAAGACTTCAATGTAACGGAGGCCCAGAAATTGCCATTAAAATACAGTGAATTTAACAACGAACCCCGTTGATCCGTACGATCCCGACAATTTTACCGCATAAACAAATGTCTGGATTAGCGAATCGCGGAAATGCGTTAATGGACTTTGTACAGATGTAATCATTCACTGCAGTAATCACAATGAAAGTGGGGTTGGAACTTCGAGGTGGTCGTATTAGCAGTGTCCGGAATAACAAGGTTTCGTTTAGTATTTCCTTTTTGAAATTCACCGACTTCATTGTGAAGGATTCCAGGTATGCAAGTGAGTCATGGTGGTATCCACAAAGCGAACTTAGCACAAAGACACTCGTACCCATACCTTAACACTGACTAGGACAGTCCTATAGTATGGGACCCTTTGTGGGACTGGCCCAGAAAACACACTGAATGCAGTAAATTGTTTGAAGATGTACCGGTATGCTGTTTAGCCGCTGATGAACCCGAGATTGACCTGGTTCAATGACCAGTGTGTCCACTGTATCATTAATCATCACTCCCTCCATCCCCTTCAACCCCTCTCTCTCACCATCACGTCATCCCTCCGTTGTGAACCATCTTTAAACATACGCTATTCAGTCAAAGGATTAAATGAACTTTCCTCAAGCCGTGTGATCTGATGGTTTCTACGTTGTTTAAAGTTCTGCTTTTAAAACGTTTGTCGTGTGCTTTTCATGAAACAATATACTCCTTACCTGTAACAATCCCGTGAAGGTCCGGGTTAGAATATTGATCTTTAATAACCCATGCTTGTCGTAAGTGGCGACTAACGGGATCGGGTAGTCAGGCTCGCTGACTTGTCATCGGTTCCCAATTGCGCAGATCGATACTCATGCTATTGATCACTGGATTGTCTGGTCCAGACTCGATTATTTACAGACTGCCGCCATATATCTGGAATATTGCTGAGTGCGGCGTAAAACTAAACTCACTCACTCACCTTTACCTGTAACATGATTAAATGTGCATTTACAGTGAATTACGGTTATAACGAACTAGAAGGGAGTACTCATTTTAGTGCGTTCCGCATTAGTTATGCGCATTTCGACTAAAATGTTCGAGTAGGCGAGAAGAAAACCCCAGTTCGTTGTTCGTCAGTTCGTTAAAACTGTTAGTTCGACGTGGGCTTGTTTACTGCATCACACACATGAGTCATAGGTGTTCCAGTTGACTAAGGCATCGCAATTATAGTTTGGCATGAAATGCATGTGGACCCGGTTTTTTGCAAATATCTCTTCATCCAATGACCCAATCGATCTCAAACTGTGCAAGTGGATGTTTTGTCAGACAACCTAATCACATTGTAAATCACCGATTTTATGCATTTGTATGAAAGAATCTGTCTATGTAACAAAATAAACAGCAGAACGCAAACTGCTTGCAGAGGGAGGGAGCCAATGATCAAACTATAGCCGCAGAGCGTTGCATCCCGTTGAGTGAGTGAGTGAGTTAGTTTAGTTTTATGCCGCTCTCAGCAATATTTCAGCAATATCACGGCAGGGAACACCAGAAATGGGCTTCACACATTGTACCCATGTGGGGAATCGAACCCGGGTCTTAGGCGTGACGAACGAACGCTTTAACCACTAGGCTACCCCACCGCCCCGCATCCCGTAGACAAGGCCCAAATGAATTTGTGTTCAGGTTCAGCCTAACTGTTAAAGCGTTCTCTCGTCACGCCCAAGGCCCATGTTCGATTCCCCACACGGTTACAATGTGTGAAGTTCATTTCGCCCACCGACCCGTGAAGGTCCGGGGTTAGAATTGATCTTCAGTAACCCATGCTTGTCGTAAGAGGCGACTAACGGGATCGGGTGGTCAGGCTCGCCGACTTGGTTGATACATGTCATCGTATCCTAATTGAGTAGATCGATGCCCATGCTATTGGTGACTGAATTATGTGGTCCAGACTCGATTACCTACATACAGCCGCCATATAATTGGAATATTGCTGAGTGCGGCGTAAAACTAAACTCACTCACTCTTTCTCGCTCACCGCCGTGATGTAGCTATTAGCGCCGTGAAACAAGTCATTCACTCACCAAGACGGTAAACGTCGAAATAAGGCATCACGTTAGGCTTTCCTTCTACATCAACCACACACGCACGCACGCACGTATTAATGCCGTTCTATCGACATTTAACAGAGCTTGTTCAACCACTTGTGCTCTTGCAAACTGTTCGTATAATTTGGATTGTGTTGTATCAAACAACCTATTCACATTCAGTGATGCATGATTCGTTACAAGATATACTAGAAACGTTCACATCAACTAGTCAAGTAAAGATTGATAATACAATGAGCCGTTGAGATTGACATCCAATGATCGAGGGGAAAAATACCAGCGCCTTGAGCATGCACTAGTGTGTGGATATGTGCGCTATATAAATATCCTATAATAATAATAATAATGATAGTTTATGTGGCGTACGTTACGTAGCAGTCAAACTTTCCACAGCAGCCAAACTAGTCACGTCAAACAAATTGTATTGCTTTTGAAGCTGCTAACGAGTCACGTCAAACAAATTGTATTGCTTTTGAAGCAGCTAACCAGTCACGTCAAACAGATTGTATTGCTTTTGAAGCAGCTAACCAGTCACGTCAAGCAGATTGTATTGCTTTTGAAGCAGCTAACCAGTCACGTCAAACAGATTGTATTGATTTTGAAGCAGCTAACCGGTCACGTCAAACAGATTGTATTGATTTTGAAGCAGCTAACCGGTCACGTCAAACAGATTGCATTGATTTTGAAGCAGCTAACCAGTCGCGTCAAACAGATTGTATTGTACTTGTAGCAGCAGTCAAACCAGTCACTTCAGACATTTTGTATTGTACGTCTAGCAGCAGTTTCAACCAGTCACATCTAAAACATTGTATTGTACTTGATGAAGTCGTCAAACCGGTTACGTCTGTCGGATTGCATTGTACTTGAAGCAGCAGAATAGCTTCCATGTCATATAAAATGTGTACTTTAAGAATCAGTATTTTCTCACAGAGAGGCCTCACGGATCCAGTTCATGTTGTACTTTAAGCAAGTCGTACAGCAGTCAGAGTCTATCAATGACAATACTCAGTGGTTATATTCATATTCTTTATTGTGATTGTCATGGGGTGAATCCCATCGAAACATGGCATATCATAAATACATTCAATAACACTTCATAAAAGCGCCATAGGAATGGCAGTATTTGATCGTGAAATGTTTGTTGACCTTACACCAACATGTTCACAAACACTGTCGTCAGATTTAGATAACGTCCTTTCATAGCAGTTAACAAGATAAGAAGTTCCAGAGTCAAAAGGAGCAAAGTACATTGACATGGCATTCAAGACATGTCTGGAAGAGATAGGACAATGCCATTAGGTTAGTGGAAGGGTCTTTGGAGAAACACTTATTTCAAAAGGATTCACATCGGTATACGACCTCAGGAGCTGAAATGGGCTAATCCAAAGAACACAGAAGAAAAGCACTAAAGCACTATTTACTCGTTCAGCCAGGACTTCATCAAAACAGGTTCAGTAAGCATTCACAGCTTATTGTGTGTTTGTGTATATAATTACACGCCATGAATATTTCATTCATGGTAAGGCACTTGTGTCCTACGAGTCTGTTTAAGTAGAGCAATACTCTTCAATAAAAGCTCCCGTCGCTGTATGGACACCGTTGATTGAATGCTTATTGTTGATTGTTCTGGTTGCGACGGTCTGGTAATTCGGTCGTAGCACAAACAGTATCCAAGTCAACACGTTAATGAATAAATACCTGTCTGTCATAGTTCATGATGATTAGGTCTGATAGAAGTCTGTTCTGGCTGCCGTGAGATCTATATACATTTGTAGAAACCATCGGCCGTTGTAAGGAGCGTCGGTATGACGGACCAGCGTTTCTGGAAGAGAAGTCTTTGACACTGGGTGGAGGAGAGTACACCTCCCGCCCTTCTGAATCTACAGAACATACACTCCTCGGCGAACCATAGTCCAAGTCGTATAGAGACGAGTCATTCAGAGGCTCATAGAGATCAAGTTTCACTGCTGATTGACCTTGAACCCTACTTACACCACTGTTTTGAGATTGCAACTTCGGCCCAGAAAACTGACCTGGTCGGTTGACTTTTTTAAATGCACCTTTTTGAGAACTACACAACCCCAAAGCGTCAAGACTCCTGTGTTTGCAGGAACTCTCTGACGTTACACTGGGTATACACAATCCTAGGGCATCTACACTTCGATGCTTGCACTTTCTGGGCACTGTTCTCTTTTTGTTTTTAATATAATGTTGTCTTTGACAGTCATGGGAGTGTTCACTTGGGCGCAGTTTGGTGTCTTGTTTTAAAGGTCCTTTTCCAGAAGACGAAAATGCACAACGGGGGGAAAGTTTGTCTCTGGGACCATTGAAGGTCTCATAATATCCACTGCTGTTTTCGGATTCGGAATGGTCAGCAAGGGTGCCTTCGTCGGACTCGATGTCCGTTGACCGATGGCCGCCTACCAACCTGCATGTCCGTGTTGAGGAGCAACAAGAGAGGCTGGACACTGTGGTCAGAGATTCCCGGTCTGACTCATCTTCCTCTGGAACACACTGCTGAATGATCTCTCGGATTTTACACTTGTGGATGAGATTTTCTTCAATTTTGTTCAAGTAGTATTCGTAGTTCGCCTGATCACTCTCACTGGAGGTGCTCATGTCGTATTCATAGCCTGTGTCGCTTGTGTCCAGAGATGCCTCCCGCGCATGGGTACGTACACGAGCCGCTGCCTGGAGACGTTCGCCGAGCAATTCCCTAAGATGAACATCATCAACATCATGACAATGCGAGTCCTCTTCTAGCGATTCTGACGAGTCGTAAGACACCTCCACACCACTCTCAGTACTTCGTGAAAGACTCGAATTCCTCCTTCCAACCAGAGCACACGTGAACTCGGTCTTCTTCTCATTCGGAGGAGGTAGCGGCGGTTTCTCCTCTTCTGTCGAATTCAGAAGAGGAACAACCATGTACGGTCCATCTTTCCTCGGGGGATCCTCTGTGCTCTTGTCCTGAGATCCGATAATATACTTCCTTAAAGTCTCAGCACTGAATATTGAAGCTGTGGACTGGTCAAAGGAAGAGCTAGGATCCGAAAACGACGTTTCCCGAAGTCTCGAGGAGCTTTCACTGCTGGATGATCCGGGTTTGGTCACACAGTTCGGCAGGTCTGGGATCTCCTCATATATATGGTAGACCTTGTCCTCGCTGTCCCTGGCGCTTGCCTGGAAACCGTAGTCGTCACTGACGTCCCCCTGTCTCGGGTTCTTCTTCTGTTTCTTCCGGTCCTTCAACCAGCGAAACATGTTGAGGTTGGTATCAAGCTGATTTAGATCATATACGCCAGGTCCTCAATCTGAAAACAAAACAGTAAATTTAGTGATTTCATAACAATTTATGGATAAAATACGAACATTTTTTTTTAAAAAAGAGTTTAAGTCCTGTTTGACTTCAGCTAAATTAACATAAAATCTAGAACAAAACCAGAAAATTGAGTGATTTCATAAGAATTTATGAATAAAATAGAACATTATTTTTTATAATGCGCTCAATCCTGTTTGACTTCAGCTACAAAATAACATAAAGTTTCCAACCTACATGGATTATACAAGGGTATTGAACTGTAGGTTAACGGAGACGACCTCAACACACACCAACCCTAAAGCAACCTTCCTGACTGGGAGACAGTCTTAGGATGCTCGTTTTTATCAGCAGCTTCAGATGACACGCATAGTGAGCGCCATTTAACAATGGGATCTTTTGTCCGACAAACAAGCTGACCGTAGGCCAGGCATAAAACTCTTGGTCACACTTGGGCAATCTGGGCAGATTGTCGATTTCCGTAATAAACAGACACGTGACCACAAACAAAACAAGATAATGTAGTAATGTCCTGTCCGCCGACAGAAACTACTACGTGTAATTTACATCGGCAGCTGCTGAGTGACAGGTAGTCGAGCATCAATAGTTTGAAACCTATGATAAACATAGTTCGATGGAGAACATTACATGCTATTGATACTTTGTTTTGTCGGATGTTTGCAAACACCCGGTATGTTTTGAATGACTATTGGATAGTTTAATCACAGCCACGTGAGTAAAATCATGAAATACAAGCCTAACGCCAGCACTACATGATGTCCACAGTTAAAACGTTTTATTATAGTTGTGACAGGTGTGTGTGTGTGTGTCTGGGCTGATGCTACGGTTCGTGTAGTTGCCAATGCGTTCTTTGTCGCTTTGGTATAATAATACAACATTGCAACATCTGTAATAACACACTAGCAAACTCAAAATCACGTTAACATGTTTAAACCATGGTCCCGACCCACAAAGCGCCCGTAACGTTACAACCTCTCGTAACACAATAGGTTTTGTTTTTTTTCATTTTATTGTTTTCATGGTGCTGATCCAATCTTTTTTCTTTTTTTAAAACATTTATTACTTCTGTACCACTACAGTTTATCACAGGCTTGCGAATGTCGTAGCGCTACGAACGTGTTGTGGATCGGGAGAAAACTTCTGATATATCGTGATACATTTTCTATATCCAAAAATAATAATCTCGCGTGATCAAAAGTGATTAAGCCGGTTTTACTCTTATGCTGTACACGTGCCCCAGAGCCCAAAATACGTGAAATTACAAGGCGTGTCCGAAAAACATCCTCCGCGTCTGACACTATCATCTACGTTAATAAATCAGCAATTAACGTCATCTCCACAAAAGAAGCATTTGCGTGATGCGGGTACTTATCTAACCTTGCACACAGACAGGCCACACGACCGTAAGAGTGGACATGGCAGGGAGAGCTACTTTCTCCGTCGTTGTTAATGCTAATGTCCAGCGTATGTTGGAACAACCCATGTCGCTTTATATCAGTGTCATCTCATGTCAATAGAGGAGATTCCCTTCATCCGTTTCGTTCTATACCACTCGGGAGTGATTGTTTGCGTGACTGGGGATTAAAGTCGACCATTTCAGATTAATATTATATGGATTTGTAAGTCGATATATATAACCCCTATGATATATCCAAATGTTAAAGGCGTGTTGAATATGGGAAGACAAGAGATGTAATTTTGTCATTTGATGCCACAATAGGAACAGCAGGATATCCATTTACTGGAAAATCATTTGCTATTAGTCGCAAACACTTAGTTACTCGAATTCCAAATACACCATTAACTCTTATCTAATACAACCACCCAACGCAACAATGGGCTTAAATATTAACACTTAGCCGTGACGTATAATACAAAGTTGTACAGACAGAAGCTCACAAAAGCATGATGTCCTTTACTTAGTAACACATACTGTTTTAGTGATAGCGTACGGTGTACAGGTTGCAAATGATATGCTCGAAGAGAATTGTTAAAACTGAAATAACAACATCTGAAATGCGATGAGAAAGGTCTTGCCATGATACCACATCACAGAGAAGCAAAAGAGCATACAATGAACACGATCAATACACCGGATATAGCTCTCTCTCTCTCTCTCTCGCTCTCTCTCTCCATTTCTCTCTCTACCTCACTCCCACTCTCTCTCCCACTGTCTCTCTCCCTCACTTCCACTCTCTACCTCTCCCGCTCTCTCTACCTCTCCCACTGTCTCTCTCTATATCTCTCTCTCACTCTCTCTGTCTCCACTCTATTTCTCTCACTCTCTCTCTCCACTCTCCACTCTTCTCCCACTCTATCTCTCCCACTGTCTCTGTCTCTCTCTCTCACCCCCACTGTCTCTCTCTCTCTCTCTCACACACACACGTACACGATTGGTTTACCTTACGTACAATTCCTTCAGTAATACACCGCCATATCACTTCCACAAAATATACTTCCTCCTTCCACCATCAACCTCCTGTTTCCAGTTGATATTAGAAATGAAACTATTTCTCTCGAGCGATATCATGACTAACCTTTGAAACAGAAAAATGACGAACTGCTCATGAAATATTCATATTCATATGAGCTAGCTTTGGGAACTATGTTCACAATGTGGATCTGAGTCGTGCATAATGTATGGGCTTATCTACTGCAGTATCGCAAAAACGAACATTCCGACAACCTATTTCGTGATTCATCAAATATTTAAAACAAACATTTAAATGCTTGCACACAATGATATTTCTCAGGAATACGGTACCCTAAAAAGCTGTTTTGGAATTTGACATCAGGTTTAGTTGAATGAAGATCTTCATTTGTGAACCTGGGTTCGATTCGCCCACTTGGGTACAATGTGTGAAGCCTTTTTCTGGTGTCCCCTATCGTGATATGGCTGAAATATTGCTAAAAGCGGCGTGAAACTATACTCACTCACACTCTCGATGCTCAAACCATGACCTGATGGCTACGAATTTATGTTTTTCGTTGATATTTTGCACTTTTCATGTCACCATTTAACTCGACGGGAAAATTGTGTGACAAAGATTTCCGATGAGTTCATTTCGGTCTCATTTTCTGTACAAGGATCATCATTATAGGTGCAGATCAAACACAAACTAAACACATACCGACACTCCAGGCAAAACGTGTTCCTTACAAACAGGGTTCAACGATAAGCTCTAGGTCCATTAATCTAATTTCAAAGATATTTTCGCATATTTGTCCACTGAATAAATATGAAGTTGGTGTATAATATCAACCATCCCTGCACTTAAAATCCACTTATCTCGCCCTATCTATGACGATGTCCAAATCAAACATGAAAACAGTCAGGAACTGAAGAAGAACACTCGCACCCTCCCTTGCCAAATACACAGTTGTCCGTATGTATCTAACATATAGCGTTTGTAAATATAACCGACAAGCAAAACCCTTTCAATACATGTCAGAAATATCTACGCGCAGAGTCGAATGTACGATTCTGATTAATTATGATTATGTGTTTATGAATCACTCTCAGTTAGTGCTGATACCAAACGTTGGCCTACATTGAGATTGTGATGCGTATTGAACGGAAGCAGTTGTACTGGTGTGACGGGGCTCGGTGGAACAGAGCGCTGTATTCTCTGCGCAAAGTGTCTCACAATGACGATTGCAATATCATAAAGTCTTTAGCGTCACGTTTTTCTCCTACACTTTAAACCCAAAACTTTAGTCACAACTAGGCATGACGTGCAGAAACAAGGCATGACGTGCAGAAATGGAATCCATTGTGGCATATGTTGGTCATGTGTTTCGTTCAGGCCTTCTACCATTTCTGGTGTCCTCCGCCGATGTTCTGGATCAATAGTTACCTAAACCAAAGTCAGTCAGTCAACTTAGAATCTTTTCAATGACCTACAAATCATGCAGATAGGTACAATATATACAAACCATCTATAAATGTTAACTTGTGATACCATACAAATAATAAGACGACCCCAACTAACCCCAGTGCTGAGACGATTCAGGTGAACGTTATGCAAGACATAATCAAATATTTCCACTTCGTGCAATTCACACATGGACGGAAATTCCGACACCCCCATTTCTTTATGCTTTGAAAATCCATCTCAAAACGGAATTCATTTGTCATAATAGATGGTTTGGTGTTGACGTACACGTGTTCTCAGTCTAACGGTAAACGAAAATCTTGAAAGAACTGTTTGATCTAGACGTATTAATGGAGCACAGACACACGTTATTGCAGTGCAAACACATTCCAGACTCGTAGCACACAGACTCATAGATATAACGTCATATAATAGATGGGTTTGTTTATGTCAACATAAAACACAACAGACAGAGCCCAGTCATGCCCCCCTTACGCCGACTAGAGACCAAGCGTATTGCGTATGCAAATAGCGATAGACCTTATTAAGATGTGGAGTCACGTTATTTCGTTTCGTAAAAAACCACATCTGAATTTGAATTGTCAAAGGCTCAGATGTCGAAAATCGGAATGTGTATTTAAACGAATCCAAACACCACGAGTAACATATCTTTTTATCACTGAATTATTTTTTCTTCTGAAATATTTGAAGAATTAAGTTCAATGTATTCTAAATACCGTATTCATTCTTTATGAGTCTCTGTGCCTCTCGCGATGATTTAACTGTATCCTTCGCGAAAGAGCATCAACATGGCGTCCGTCAATTGTCAACCATCTGTAGCAAGGTGTCAGTCAATGTCAAATATCGACTGTGTTTTATCACCAACACAGACTGAAATCAACACGTGTGTGTAGCATCATTTTCTCAATACTCAACATGTTCACTCTTGCGACAAGCTGTTCTGGGTTCCTTTTGATGACCTATTGTCAGATGCGAAATAACGTTTCAATACATTTGATAGCATAGTATCGGTACACGGGGAATATGAAAATCGTTTGTTTAGCTGTCGCTGAAATGACAACAGATAGACGGCCACGCA